GGAGAGAGAGGAGAGAGATGAGAGAGAGAGGAGAGAGAGAGAGAGAGAGAGAGAGAGAGAGAGAGAGAGAGAGAGAGAGAGAGAGAGAGAGAGATACACACACACGTATGTATATATATATATATATATATATATATATATATATATATATATATATATATATTTATATATATATATGGGCTGTGGGCAGTCTCATCAATCACAAGCTCACATATTTACTCGTGATTTTACACCTATCTTTCCTCCTTCTCTTTTTCTCCCTTTCATCATCACACCTTTGCTGTGCTCGCTTACAGACGATGCGATGAACATCTGCGGTGAATCACTTGACCTTACAGTTCCATCTCACTACCTTTCCCTGTATTCGGAACAAACCGCCTCGTACGTTCATTTTCATCAACGTCTGTCACAACAGCCTTGTGTGCACAAAGCATATGTCATAAGCCGTGTGCGCCCCCTCCCAGTGCCGACGGCTCGCCGACTGATAGCACGGGTCGCACAGTTCCACGCGGAGTGTGCACAACAATGACAATATTACAGACTGGACTCCTGAATACATGTCATAATGGCCATCACGTCCTACGTAGCTGTCCCAGCCACGGATCCCAGGTCCGGTGGTAGTGAGTCGACAGAGCAGCCACCGGTCGTCAGCCGGGCGGCGTCACGGGCGGGACTGTACTCGGCCCCGCAGGAGCCGCTCCGAACTGGCCAGAGCGCCCCGCCCGTCCCTCAGTCTGCCACCGGCGGTCCGGAGACGGCTGCCGGCTCGCCTTTCCTTGCCACCGCCGCGGCGACACACAGCACCTGACCTTGTGCACAGGTCATCGTCGGGTGACATGACACAGCGCGCTCGACGCTCGTGCCTCAACTACTCAGAGCACACCTCACGGCCGGCGGCGCGTCACACACCGGAGTCGCTACGCTATCTCTGAGGACGCTGTCCTCCCAAAAGCAGTCAAGCCCGCCGCGCCCGGCACCGCGCGCGAGGCGGACCCGGTTGTGAGAGGCCCCTCACCATCGGCCCACTGATAGCGTCCGGCTAGCGATGGGACGGCTGAGCGGCACTAGGCGATGCGCGGCGCCACGCACGCGGCGCTGCCGGCCTGGCGCTCAGCGCGCCGGCGCCGGCGCCAGCTGCCACCGGACACGCTGTGAGTCGGGCGGCTGCTGAGGGCCGTCGCGTCAGAAGAACACCTGCTTCACGTCCGCCGTGTTCATCTCCACCGGGCAGTACGGACACTTGAGTCTGGAACGTGGACAGCTGCGATTCAGGAACTCGCCGCCGCGTCGGGGTCAGTCGGTGCTGTATATGGCCCGCGGGACACATACCTTTTGCTTCAGTCAACAATCGAATGACCACACCAGCTGGCCAGCTTTCGTCACAGATTTAAACAGAATCCGACGCCCCTCCCCCCCCCCCCCCCGGCACCATCATCCCCGTGTCAACAGCTCAGCACGCCGTGCCGGCGCGCGCGTGATGCCTGTGTCGGGCGCGGGACCTACTTGTTTCCGTGGCTGAGCTTGTGCAGGGCGTCCTTGGAGATGCAGTGTCCGCAGACGAGCCGCACTGGCGGGTTCTGCTCGGTGGCCTGCTGCTTGAGAATCGGGCAGGCAAACACACTGTGGAAGCGCAGCTCGCGGTCGACGTCCACCTCGATCTGAGCGAACGAGGGTAGAGATGGCGTCAGAGCTGGGTCACATCAGGGTACGCCAGTACAATCACGGACTCCAACACGGGCGGTGCCGAAATAGTTATGCTAGGTGAAATGGGAGGCCCATCAGAAGTTTTGAAAGTTACGGCACTTCGATAACTGCATCATTTTACATCGTGCCAAGTCCCAAAAAACGATTTAAATTGACTATGACAGTTCACGCTCGTTTCTAGAACTGCCCCTGGCACTTCACATCAGCAAGTTTGAATCTATTCTACAACCTGACCAGCAAAACGGGACTTATCCCAGCCTATTTCGGGCGTATATTGCGCTTTGGGAAAAACTAAGCTCAGGGTTAAAGACCGTTCCAATCCGCAGAAACTCGAACCCAATCGAGAGAGGCGATTCATGACTCCTAGTCCCAAAGATTTTCTGGATTGCGTAGCGAGGAATCTACAATAATCCCGGAATTTCCAAAGCAGCCAGTCGGCAGACCTTACTTAAAGCTGCCCGCCATTACTTAATTTGATGCCGTATCTGCGAACGTTGGCTGCGGCCGGCCGGCGTCGCCGGGAGTCGCCAGAGCGCGCCCCGGACTGGGTGCTCACCGGCAGGTCGTCGTTGGAACTCCACATGCCGCCCACCTGGCGCTGCTGCATCACCTGCTTCATGTTCATCAGCAGCGGCACCGCCTTGCTGCCCGCGTTCACGCTGCCGGCGGAGCGGAGCATCGTCACGACAGGTGGACGGAACACAGGGTGGCCGTCAATGTGCGCGAGAGAGGGCGGACAGGTGGACGGAACACAGGGTGGCCGTCAATGAGCGCGAGAGAGGGCGGACAGGTGGACGGAACACAGGGTGGCCGTCAATGAGCGCGAGAGAGGGCGGACGCCTCTCTGACGGCCGGACCAGGACTCGTCACGGCCCCGCTCACAGACCCACACAGTTCTGGGTCTGAACAGCTACTGCGCCTGACGACGCGCACTGCCTGACAGCCACCTCACAGCAGCGATCAGCCTCCGGCCCGACAAACGCCACCGGCCCCCGACTCGACCCACGCCACCGACCGCCGGCCCGACCCACGCCACCGGCCGCCGGCCCGACCCACGCCACCGGCCGCCGGCCCGACAAACGCCACCCGGCCCCCGATCCGACCCACGCCACCGACTGCTGGCCCGACCCACGCCACCGACCGCCGGCCCGACCCACGCCACCGGCTGCCGGTCCGACCCACGCCACCGGCCGCCAGCCCGACCCACGCCACCGGCCGCCGGCCCGACAAACGCCACCCGGCCCCCGATCCGACCCACGCCACCGACTGCTGGCCCGACCCACGCCACCGGCCGCCGGCCCGACCCACGCCACCGGCTGCCGGTCCGACCCACGCCACCGACCGGGGGCTCGACTCACGCCACCGGCCGCCGGCCCGACCCACGCCACCGGCTGCCGGTCCGACCCACGCCACCGACCGGGGGCCCGACTCACGCCACCGGCCGCCGGCTACACTCACACGACCAGCAGGGGGCTGTCGACGCTCACGCCCAGCAGCGAGCACGCCTCACGCGTGAACAGGTCGCAGATCTCCACCCAAAGACTCTCGCTGGTCAGCAAGGCGTACGGCGACTTCTGCAGGCCAACGTGCACGTACGCCAGTGCGCCCATCAGTGAACGGACCTCGCCGATCAGCTGGGCGTACACGTCTGTGGGAGGGGGTGGGGTGGGGGGGGGGGGGAGAGTCACGGGTCAGTGGGGGCTGAGTGCCACTCTTGAGGGAGCAGGCCCTAAGCCAGCGCCAATCACCGCTCTGTACGCTCTGAGCGGTGCCGAGCAAATGTATGCCTACGCCAGCACACACAAGTCAACCATGTCAATAAGAGAATGAGTGCTTGAATGCTCCTGGCATCAACTATATCTAAGAGCCCAGACAAAAGACGAGTGACAAGCGCGTAAAACCCGTCGTTGTTACAAACCAACGCCCACTTTAAGTCAGCACCGAATAGTCAATGAGACTGACACCAAGCGCAGCTGTTGGGTGGCACTGACCGATATCCTTTCGCCCACTCACCGTCCCGGTTGACGTAGGCCTGGCAGAAGCGTCCGAAGTGCACCCGAGCGTACATGATGGCCTCCTTAATCCTGCCCTGCTGCAGCAGTGTGACGTACTTGAGCTTCTTCAGCCGGAACTCCAGGAAGCTGCCCTGCAGCGAGGCAGGCGAATCAGAGGCCCATACAGACCGTGTCCAGACAGCTGCAATGCCCGGTCTGGGGCGTGCTCTCTCGACGGCTGCGACCTCCCTGGCCAGCACCTCAGTCGGCCAGTAGGGCCACGCCTTCCGTGTGGTAACCTGACGCTTCAGAATAACGCGTTCGGAAAATAAGAGAAGCGTACATAACAGTGTACAGAAATTGACAGGACCTGGTCTCGGGTTGGCGCGCAATGAGTACTTAACTGGCCTAACAGAAACTAACAGAAGCGCACATAACAGCATACAGAAACTTCCAGAGAACCTGATCTTGGGTTAGCGCGCGCCGAATACTTAAATGGCCTAGCGGAAACTAACAGAAGCGTACGTAACAGCATACAGAAACTGCCAGAGGACCTCATCTTGGGTTGACGCGCACTGAGTACTTCATTGGTCCCAACACATCCTTGGTCGAAGTAAGGCGACGCGAACAACCAGGGCATTTAAGATTTGAAGCAGTTTGAAAATTGTCGGGAGCAAGTCCCAGCTCATCAGCGGACACGGCTGACGAGTTCGCAGCCGGGAGAGCCTCACGATGTGGTGCAGCTGCCCGGTCCACTGTTCCACCCAGGAGAGTGCCGGCTCCAGCTCCTTCCGTTTCAGCGCATCCACGATGCTGTTGATAACCATGTAGGGCTCCACCACCGACTCTGAGTTCTCCAGCTGAGCTGACTGTGTAGTGCGGGACCCGGGTCAGTCGACTGGCCGGCCCAGCACCGCCCACCCCGTCAGGTCAAGTCCGGTCAGATCAGGGCCGGCCAGACCAGGTCCGTTAGCTCAGGGCCGGTAAGCTCAGTTTGAGCTAGTCCAACCAGGTCTAGTCAGCGCACTGCGCAGAAGAGCTGCGTTCGTTAATCACGGCAGTCCTATGGACGGGCAGTTGGTGTAAAAATAGCCTGAATCGCTACGTGTACCGTACCTGCAACCTTCAATACCATCTGTACACTTAAGTACAGGAACAGCACCTGCCTGGCTTGACATCCCACAGCAGGGCAGTTGAAATGTATACATTCAGTACACCTCGCGACCAGTCCCGCAATCCACGGCCCCGGCGCAAACTCTGGCCCAGTGGCCAGTCACGTTAGAAATTCATCGCGCATACAGGCTGGTGTGCTGAGCCCATGCAGCGGTAAAAAAAAACGGGACTAACTTTCTGATCAGCCTACCAACAACAAGCCGCACATGGTCCGCTATGATGTTCACAACTCCAGCGTCCACGTCCGTCCTCACGGGGCTTTTCCCGGCGTCATCGCGCTGCCAGGCTTGTTTATATGTCCTGCTCCTCGGTCAGGCCGCAGTGACAACATTGTGCGGTCCCTCACCTCCGTAACAACAAAGCGGGGGTATGGGTGCCTGGCTGCGTATCTGCCGACCCTCGGGCAGGCCGGAGTGGTGCTGCATGCGCCCGGGCGGCGGCCGGTCTCGCCCGGGCGGCGGCCGGTCTCGCCCGGGCGGCGGCCGGTCTCGCCAGGGCGGCGGCCGGTCTCGCCCGGGCGGCGGCCGGTCTCGCCCGGGCGGCGGCCGGTCTCGCCCGGGCGGCGGCCGGTCTCGCCCGGGCGGCGGCCGGTCTCGCCCGGGCGGCAGCTAGTCCCACCTGGACGAGCAGGGCGCCCAGCTCGGGCAGGCCGGTCCGGTAGAAGTGTCGGCAGATGACCTCGTTCACCAGCTTGGCGCCGTGTTCGGACGCCGCGAACTGCCGGTCCAGCGCCGCCACCGAGTAATCGGCCGCGAAGTTCTGCCGGCCAGGATGCCCCAACACTCACGACAGGCAACAAGCCGCCATTGCCGAACTTGCCGAACGCCATTGTTTTTACGAAACCCTAAATAGGCGGGTAAAACGCATATTGTCTCAACTTTTATGGCACTACATCTAATATCCCCCATCAGTAACGCCACTCTCATGAAACACCTGCCATCCAGCCATCCATCCAAATAAGACAAAAGCAACATGAAATCAGTGCACACCTGTCCAGTCAATACCCAAGGCAGACACAGTTACAGAATGGGCTGAATGCAGCAGTAACCGGGCAGCTGAATTTCCACAATTGCGATAGCTATCATCCCCTGCAACACAATACTTCCCACATATTCAAAAACAAGTTGATCAAACTCACACTTGTGACCAATAATGCAGCTTTCACCTTTTAATGCTGCAAGCAATGACTACAGTTATCCAAGTCAAATAAACCCCAGAGCTAAAAGGTATGCAAATTACAGCAGGTGATATAATTCTAACCCTGTATTGTTGGACTCATTTCCTATTTAACACAACTCTCTTTTGTCTACAGCCAAAATACTGTATATAGCCAGCTTATCCATTGCTGAACAGCTCACCTTGTCTATAGCCTTGCCAACCTTGGAGACAGTGCTGTGCAGCTCCCGGTGGCCTGTTGATGCCTTGGTAGCAATGGCCCGAGCCTCCGCCAGCAGCTCCATGATTTTGACAGCTTTGGCTGCACTGATCTGGCCATCTCCCTCCCCTGAACATGTCACAACTTCTGTCAGTTAGTTCAAAGTATGACACATTTACAAAGGAAAACAATTGCCTCAAGGGATGTCCCTAATCCTTGGCAAAGCTTATCATATTGAACTGAACTCAAAACAGCAAGTAACTATGCAGAATTAAATGCGGCTCCCTTTTAGATAGAAACAGATTCCTAAGACACATATAAGTATGCAACCATGCCACCCAATCTATGCAAATGCATCATCAGAAAACAAAAAATTAAACTTAGAAAAACATTGCACAATGTCAATGCTGAATTACACCAACTTCCATGGCAACAGACTGCATGGCAGCTAAGTTACTTATGTGTCACAGCATGTACACATCCCATGGGAACACTAACACACAGGCTCATGCTCTCGAGTAGCCTGATATATACATGAAAACACTCACGCTGATTAAGACTTGATACATAAACATCTATTTTCTGTATTATTTCTTCCACCTTTCGTTGATTTTCCCTGTCTAAATCCTTGAACTTCTCAAAGACTTTGTCGAGCTCTTTGTCAACAGCCACACATGCATCCATTCCTGAAACAAGTATATATTCATCTGGCATGGCTGGTGCAATTCATATTGTGCAATTTTCATTTCACACAGTCCAAAACAAAATCAACTCATATTCAATCATAGTCATTGCAGTCTTACACCCAGTCACCCAGTCTTACACCCAGTCACAGCTTTCTTTGTGCCCAGTGCACAATGCTCATAAACCAGACTTTGACCCAATGCAAAGAACTTTGAATTCTCATATTTACTGCATTTACACAATGAAACTTATGATGCAAAGGCCCTGTTACACTGAAATGCTTAGCATGATATGCATTGTGCAGCCTGGGCGGCAAAAAGGGGCAACAAGCCTGTGCACGCCAATCCATATTGACCATTTAATTCAGTGGATTTTTGATTATTGATGGTTTTGCAGTCTAAAGAAGCTACATGATATACAGTTCTACTTTGATGCAAAGATATGGGTCTCAATAAATGCCTATGACATATGCTCAGTACAGGCTGAAGACACTGCATTGTGCTCATTAAACAACACTGACACAACTTACAATGACATGGTGAACAAGACAGAGTGACCACCATTAGGTATAACCTTGTACATAGTTCATCAGACTAGTAGATCCAATTTGAATCACCACTGGAAACACGTCCATGAACCATAGGGTCCTCAAGTAACACACTAATGAGAACAAACATTCAAAACGATGGCATCCATCCCAGGACTGTTTAAAAAGTTCTAAACATCTTTTCAAATTTAGAAAAGTGCATACTTTGATAGCAGGGTAAATTACAAACAACAAATGTTGTATAGAGCATTATTGCAAGAGCTTATTATTTTGCTTCTGCCTCATGTTCCGAGTCAATGATGAACGATGAATCTGACATCATGACAGACACAAAAAGGGCAATATGCCATCCAACAAAGATACCTTGGTGTTTTCCAACTCACCCACTAGTGTTGTTCTACCAGCACCACCAGCATCACATCTCACACGATGTCCACAACGTCCACAAGACACCCGCGGACCATCGCGGTGAACTGCGCGTCACGCTGGCTCAAGGTGTTATGTTATGTTTTGTTTTGTTTTTTTCTGGCCAATGCAGGGATTTTTTCCGACGGACCTAGAGTCACTTCCGAGTGCGACAATTATTTCCGGCAAGGGGGGCATTCCACCTTCTTGCACTTTTCACTTAATCAGGCGCGTACGATTGGGTCAGATACCAGTTCCACGAAACCCCTCCGAATAAACATCCGTGAAGCTAGCAGTTCAATATTCTTACGTAGTAAAAATCGACGATCCCTGCGGTTTTCACAAAACTTATGCAAAAAGTCTGCGCATATGCACCCTCCAAAACGGAGGGTGGTTACGTGCCGGGCTAAAACATACTCCAAAATGAAGGGTGGCTACGCACCGGGCTTATACACCCTCCAAAAATATTTCAGATGGTTGTGCGTGTCAAGCATACGCGGATTCCCAGCCTTAGAGGGAGGCAAGTGCAAATATGCAGAATACCAAGCGAAAAGTCGGCTCTGTGCGTGATAGGTATCAAATGATCACGAAATCCATCAATTCTTTCTGAACCAGTCCTATTCTGAACACAAATTTTCGGCTTCCGGGCCCGCATCTCCAGTGGATGGGTGGCTAGCATGCTGGTCTCGCAGGCGATAAGCCCGGGTTCGAATATCGACGACGGCCGATGTTAAGGGGGTGGCGTCATGGCCAATCGGTGTGGCATGATGGTGCCGACTCGCTTCACTTCTAAGCGGAATGAATGCTAATATGGGCTTTTCATACCGGACAGCAGCGTAGTTTCTTATGCCCAGGGGAGGACTAGAAGTAGGGCGGACTCCGTCCCCCAGGTGGAGGGAGTCCACACCCTACAGAGTTATAAAGGATCCAGTGAAAGTTAACTATAAATCTAAATGAGGCCAGCAACTTGTGTTAACATTAATTGAAAATGTATAATATGTCAACAGTATGTGTAATGTAATGTGTAAAAATGTGTAAACGCAAGTGAAAAGTTAGGCGCACACGCCCCCTTCCGGGCAATTGTTTCAAGATCATTCCGCCCCAGCCCGGGGTGTGTACCAGCTGCCATTCTGGCAACATGGAGGTGGGTTCGCCTGATGAGTCTGTCCGGAGGCCCTCACAGATGTGCGTCCTAAATTGGTGCCCTCCTGGCGCGGAAGGCCCTTAAGCGCCTTTTGGCCGGGGCACTTGACCCGGAATAGGCGCAAGAGCCCTCATTGGGGCAACAGGATCTCTGATAACCGCAGGTGGTCCAATAACTGGCACAGAGACCCATGTTCGGCCAACGGACCTTTGGCTAAAACGGGGTGAAGGGCCCCGCAAAAGCCCCGGGTCACCTCTGGCCGACTCGGGACTCCTTCCGTCACAGGACCCCCTGTTGGACACTCTGGGGGCCTGACCGTCGAAAGACCACTCATTGTTGTGGGGACTTCGACCAATACAAATCGCGGGCCTCGGTTTTGTTTCTGCTAGAGAAATGGGGCCCCAGGGCTCAGAACAATACGGAGTCAACTATTCGGTGTAGTGGTCTCCGGCCGAAATAGGTGCCCGCACTGTCCCATGGGTCCACAATCGGCGAAAAAGGCATATTGGCTGACATTTGGGATCATAGCCACACGGGCCAGGATGACCTGCAGCATTCCTAGCCTTACGGCCATTCAGCCTTTCCATCGCCCCGTTGATCGTCAGTCTTGAAGGGCACATCGGTCCCTCTTCAGGCACCCTCGTGACTGACAAGGGCTCCCGACCAACTCGGGGGGCCTTGTCAACACCGGACCTCCGGCTAGGCGCTGTGTGCTCCTGGCCGACACAGGTGCCCCTCATTGACTCGGGGTGCACAGACCAATGTAAATCGTGGGTCCTGCTCTTGTCCCTGCTTGGGAAATGGGCTCCCGGGCCCAGACCGGGGCCCAATCGGTGTAACGGGCCCTCTGGCTGGTATTTGAGGGTCTGACCCGCGCCCCTTCAGTGACTTTAGCCAGCCCTTCGGTTCCCATATCGGATATACGGTGCTCCCATTTGAGATTTCGTCGTGGTCACCTGAATGACACTTCAGGCTTAGGAGCAATCACTTTCTCCCCACGACAGTCCGACACCAAGGGCAAACCGAGTTCGGGGAGGGGCAAAAAAGCGGAAAATAACAAAAGTTTTCCCCAAAACGTACGTCAACAAGCGGGGGCGGATCCAGAGAGGAGACCACGAGGCGTGCCCTCCCTCTTTGGGCCCCGGAGGCGCCCATTGGCTCCGGGGGGCTCACATTCAGCCGAACAGGTGCAGTTTTTTTAACGTACAACGCAACAAAACTGGGTATCTCTGGACTTTCAGGCCACCAAGAACAGTCGTAAGCGAAAGTAAATGGCATATGAAAAGTTCCAAAAATTGCTCAATGATCGGAAAAGTTGTGGACAGGAAATCTTAAGCCCCATTACACTTTCTGGGACCCCATGCTGTTTCCGGGGGACCTATATGTCCCTCGCAAATTTATTTCGGTCGTTTAGGAACATACCACGTTGTCCTTCATTTATTTGCATTTGATCAGAGGGCCGTGCTGTTGTTGGGACCCTTCCTGTTAGCCTGCCGGGGAACTCTTGTCAATCACGGGCCCTTCCACGGATTATTTCCATTTGCCAGAAAGGCTCTGTGAGCGGTAGCCAGAGTCCCATACCTTAACCTGCCGGGGCATTCTCAGTTGCTCAGGAGCCTTTTACGTGGGTATCGGTTAACCTACGGACACCCATATGCCCATGGGTCCTCTACATTGGTCCAGGGCGTTTCCAATTCTTTGTCACTTGCTTAGGGCCCTACCCTTTCGGTTTCATTTGCGGCTGACTTTTCACTCCTACCGAGACTCGTGATGTTAACCTGTCCGTGCACTCTTGATTGCACAGGGGTGCTAATTTATAGTCTTTAATAATTCCCCTTTGCTCGGAGGGTCCTGTGCTATGATCAGGTGTTTGCAGTGCAGTTGTGCTTTGAGTCCTGCGCCCCCGCTGGGGCGGGGGTGCGGCGGAGACGCGTCGCCGCCGCAGTGTCGAGTGTCAGATTCGCAGGCCGGCCCCGGCCCGCGGCCCCCGCTGTCGACAGGCGCCGTGGGGAGAGCAGAGAGGGAAGGCGAACTGTCAGGACCTGCTGTGGAACGTGGCTAAAATACAGAGAGGCTTTGGTGAAATACTTGGCGTCTCATTACAAGCTACTTCGGCAAAATGGCGACCGGATTTGATGTGAGACTGATACCAGAGTTCAGCGGTGCGAGTGGTGCAGATGTGGTGGACTGGCTTGAGAAAATGGAGCTGATTTGTGGACTGCAAAAGCCTCCAGCGTGCGAGACGTCACTGATTGCCCTGCGGCTGACGGGCGGCGCCTCAGCCGTGTACAGGCAGCTGCCCACTGAGGACCGGCAGGACGCGAAGAAGGTCAAGGACGCCCTGAGGACGGCATTCGTTGTCGACAAGTTCGTGGCCTACGAGCTGTTCACCGCGCGCCGGCTAGGGGCAGGTGAGACGGTCGACGTCTACCTGGCCGACCTGCAGCAGTTGGCGTCGGTGTTCGGCGGCCTCAGCGACGAGGGTATGAGTTGTGCCTTTGTTGCTGGGCTGCCCGACGCTACCAGGCGCACGCTGCGCGCCGGTGCTCGCCTCGAAGGCCTGTCGTTGCCGAACCTGGTGGAGAGGGCGCGGGCCGTCCTCAGGGAGCTCGGCGCAGCAGAGGTCGCTGCAGCGGCAGTTCAGCGAGGGCAACCGACAGCAACAAGCTTCACATGTTTTACCTGTGGACAGGCCAACCACCCGGCCAGGGATTGTCTCAGCGGTCTGGGTCGAGGCCGTAGGCGTGGACGACGCGGTGTACGGAGACGTCCCAGCCAGGAGTGGTGTCAGGCATCACTTCAGACCAAGTGGTGGAAATTGACGGCGTACCGTGACATGTGCGAAATTTGCGTCGTGGAGGCGATAATGCTGCCGAGACAGGCGAAGCCGGTGACGGAGGCGCGGATGACAATGATAGTTTGTTCGTGAGGGTGCCTGTAGCCGGAGAGGTTGCTGATGCTGATCACTTTTGGGATGCTACTGATGCTGATGATAGTGACGGTGCGGTTGCCGATGACGGTGCCGGTGTGACAGGCGACGGTGACGAGCGAGTGTTGCCGTGTCGGAGCGGACGAGAGCGAAGGCCCGTGCGATTGTACACTTGTTGATCATTAGGATTAGGGTGGGGTGCTTGTAGTGCAGTTCTACTTTGAGTCCTGCGCCCCTGCTGGGGCGGGGGTGCGGCAGAGGCGCACCGCCGCCGCCGCAGTGTCGAGAGTCAGATTCGCAGGCCGGCCCCGCCTCGCGGCCCCCGCTGTCGACAGTCGCCGTGGGGAGAGCAGAGACGATAGGTGAACCGCCAGGAGCTGCTGTGGAGCGAGGATAAAATACAGAGAAGCTTTGGTGAAATACTTGGCGTCTCATTACACCGGGGCTTCATAGGTCAGTCTGTCGAGGCACTACCGATCGTTTAGGGGCCCACCACGTTGGTCTCGAGTTCTTTTTGATTGCTCTGAGGACCCTATACTTGTTGACGGGAGCCACTGTGATGGTCTTCTGCTACACCCATGACCGCTCAGGTTCCGTCCCTACTGGCCTTGGTGCCTTCGCCTTTGAGCAGCAGTCGAATGCGCGCCGATGAATTTTCACACGTAATTGCCGAACGTAATTACACATGCCTCCGCCGTCGTATGCGTCATTTCTACTGGCTATTGAGTGTGTCACACTCATTTAGATTTACGGTCAACCTTCACGGGATCCTTAATATCTCTGCAAGATGTGGACTTCCTCCCCCTAGCATTAGAGACTACGGTGCTGTCCGATATGAAGAACCATATTTAAAGTTCATTCCGCTTAGAAGTGAAGCGAGTTAGCATCATCTCGCCGCGCCGGTAGACCATGAAGCCACCCACTTAACAGCGGCCGTCGTCGAGATTCGAACCCAGGCTTACTGCGTGCAAGACCATCACGCTAACCATCCATCCACTAGAAATGCTGGCCTGGCGGCCGAAAATTTGTGACTGCAATACAATTGGTTCAAAGTGAGTTGATGGATTTCGTGATCGTTTGATGTCTATCACGCATAGAACCGACTTTTCGCACGGGATTCTGCATTTTTGCACTTTCTTGCCTTCAAGGCTG